AAAAACCAACACCCCAAAACACCCAATGCACCCCCCCCCCCCCCCAAAAAAAAAGAAATCTCAAGAACTTGTACTCTGAACTCCCTCTTTCTCTCAAAAAAGGAATCAGGAATCTCAGCCTGTATAGACTGACTCAGGAAGGGGGTGCCTTACAGGTGAGGTCCAATACTGTTTATTCTGTTCACTCTTTTTGAAAAGAAAATATTTCCACTGTATCAAAACTGAGGCATTCGCATCTCCAGTGGGGCCCTGAAGTTCTGAATCCCCTCCACTTCTTGAGCCGATGTTGATCAAGAAACATGATGGTTCATCCAACAGCCTTGAAATACATTCTCCAAACTCCAAGAGTATACTCCTATTATGCAACAAACTCTTCCTTTGCTGAAACACCTAAGTGTCTGAAATGAGTGAATTATGACAACTGACATGACATCTCTTGTTGCATATTCTGCCTTCTGAATAATGACTGTGTGGTGGAGATTTATATGGAACAAAGAAGGAAAAAAACATATTGGCAGAAGACTCAGTATCTCTCAGGCCCACATTAGCATTCACTTTCCATGTTCTCCCAATAGTGCTTTTATTTAATATTGTGCTTTGTTTTAACTCCTATCTTTCCTGTATCTTTTCAGGTTTCATGCTCTATATAAGAACACCTTTTATTCCAAGAAAGTGATGTGGGTGGATAAACATCGCCAGTGACCCATCTACTCTCCATAAATCATTCAGTTTTTATGACATAATCATTCATCTAATAAATGGCATCCTAAGAAAATATTGAAAATGGGGCATCTAAATACTTCTTCCTGTGAAGCCATAAAGTTTGATAAATCATACTGAAAAAATTCCCTGTAGTATTTACATCTGAAACTCAATACTAAGCAGGCATTCTTCAAATACAGATACAGGTTACAAAAGGTGTTTTTCTAAAATGGTCTGTTTTTACCCAGATAGCCATCATTCCTGCTAGGAGAGAATCCACACCAAAAAAAAAAAAAAATCTACTGAAACTTCAGCTGAACTTTGACTTCAACCTATTAATTAAAAAGCATAAGACGTTGAATATGAAGCTAGTATAGCAAAGTATCTTTTTCAATTAAAGAGACTTCCTTTCTTGGTTTGCTAATACCCTAGACACTCATTATAAAGAGGTCATGCAGTATATTATGCCAAAACTCTACACTTCCTCATTTTATGCTTCAATTCAGCAAATTCTACCACTTGTTTTAGCACCCAACAGAATTCATGCCTTAATTCCACCAAATCCTCGCTTCTGTCACAATGTCCATTTAAATGTCTGTAACACTATCTTATTTATTAAATTAGAACACAAGTTGCACTAAAACATAGGCTTTTCAATTAAACTTGCATGATACTGCTGCTGGATCTCTCATTGTTCACCACACCTTTCCCTACCACCTGCACCTCATCATTGTCATATCTAACATTAAAGTTGTAAATCCTTGCAGACAAGTACATTTCTTTATTTCACTTTATAGGACACATACGTCTTGTCTCTCCTTTTGTTTCATCCTTCTAGAATTTTCAAGTTTTTTATTTGAACAAAACTGAACACATGCAAGGAACAGGAAGCAAGCTTGGCTTTATAGCATCCAAGGGGGGTCCTAAGCACTCTAAAAAAACAAAAATCTAGCACAAATCTTCTTAAAGGGCTTGATTCACATCCCAAGTCAGTGCAGAAGCTGGATCACACCAGTGAAAAGCTGGATCACACCAGTAGGGCACAGTGTCGTGACAACGTGAAACCCCTGACTACAACCCTCACAAGTTGCCTCTTTTGCCCTCATTTATTCACACAAGCAGGCTGTGAACTGCTTCTTAGCCACCTGTAATTGTCTGTTCCCATGGTTTGTTTACCTTTCTCCCTTATGTATTAAAGTGTTATGCAGAGCAATATGCATAAATTGTCAGACAAGGTTGAAACAGGGTTAACTCCCTCGCCCTCCCTAGCTCTGCACAGTGTGGAGCCAGTTTTGCCAAAAGACAGTGAGACATCTCAGTGGCAAACTTTCCCACCCTCTTATTCCAAATCATTTATAATGATGTTGAACAGCACTTAACAGCTGCTGGACTTCATTACTAATCTTTCCCTGTTGTGCGGGCTGTCTTTATCACTATCTTTTGTTTTCTATTATTTAACTGGTCATTAAGCTATCCTTCATCTCAAAACAGCTTGGTTTCAGCAGCTGAGACACTTTTATGCAAAACTATTCTGAAATCCAAATACTCTGTATCAATGGAATTGCCACCAGTGTCATTTTAGTTTTATAAAAAACAGGCACAAAACCACACATCCTTCAGCAGACAGGGTCAGGATCTCTCCACTCATAAGGTTACAGAGATGCTGTTACAAGTGGTCAAGAAATCCTCGCTACTGATGTATCCACAATCCCATTAATGGGACTACTGCAAAGCCACGGTCCAGATGAAATGATGATAATCAAGAAGTACAGACACCGACAGTTAAACACAGAAAAAGGCACCAAGTATGTTTACAAACATGCCCTAGTCTAGTTAAGACAACACATTTCATATCTATCTTGGTAAGAGTTAGAAACCCTACCTGTGGTCCTCTATTCAAATTATTCCTTTGAGTAGGGAAGCACCTGCAAAAACTCTTCACTTGTCAGCTTAAAGTATTCTAAGAAATGGAAACAATACTGCAAGGTTTACAAAAATCAGTGGCCATACAAAGCTTTAAAAAAACAAGAAGTGTTGTAGCACTGTGAAGAAGATAAAGCAATTAAGTTTTCACTATTTTATTCTACAGGGACAGTGCTGGAAAATGCTTCCATAATAAACTAAGAACATGTTTCATGGATTGCTCTGAAACAGTCCCAGAGCCGTCTGACTTCTACTCAGCAGCAGCACATAGCCTTGAAACAAAGAGCTTGTGTTTAGCTCTTTCTCGTAGGAAATGCTGGCCAAAAGGACAGCAGGTTACATCCCCCGCAGTTATATTTTAAATACAATTACTTTTCTCATGGACAGTTCACCAAAGCTGCCAAGAACTAAGAGAATCTCAACTAAATATTAAAGCTTGTAATCTCAAAGCACTGCATCAGACCTATTATTTCTTAAAGTGTTCTCAGGTCTGATTATAAGTTTTATCATTTTGACTTTCACATCAGTTAAAGCAGACATCCTGAATTTAACAGAGAATAAAATAAAGGCCAGTAACTTACCAGCAACTCCATATATAAATTTATTTCAGTGGTTTCAAGACTTTTTTTCCATGGGTTATAAATGGCAATCATGTATATACAAATGAAGATAACTAGAAAAAATATTAGATCCTCAATTATAGAATTATTTTCACTTTTTAAATTTTGATTCACTTTCATTTCTAAATAGGACATCTTTTTAATATTTGGTCAATGACAGTGAGATATATAGCATCCCAGACTTACTTTCTCTGCAATTTATCGACAATATTCATCACTAAACAAACAAAAAATTTTACAAACATAGAACATGTATTTTAATTTCATTTTATAACAATATCTCATCCCTTGGTTATGATTTTTTTCTCAAGTCATTACAGTGGGATTTACCTGCAACTCCACATAAGGTGGATAACGTGCTGACGTAAAGAGTATGCGGCACTGATAAAACTGTAGTTCATACAATTTTGCTTTCAGAAGCAGCAAAAATTTTCACAATCAAGCCATCTGCATTTTGCTGCAGTCTAGAAAGTCCTGAAAAAACAGCAAAGACAATTAAGAACAGCAGACAGGGATGGAGACCCATTCTTCCTCTTTTAGGAGATAAGCTCCCTTCCTTACAGTAGCTGTGGGTCAGGAATTCAGATTTGGCCATACACCACACCAAACACATCACTTTATAGTAGCTACGCTAACAATAAAACAAAACAAACACCCCCACCCACCCACCTACCTCACCCCCCGAAAACCCAAAGCCAACACCCCATCCAAAAACTCTCTCAGAATTTTATTTCCAATTCCTCTATTGCCATTAAGAAGAGCAATCCTTTTTTGGCTCACCTTCCATTTGTAGGTGACTAACATAGTGCTTAAACTTACCTCACTAATCATTCATTGCACTTGGGGGGCGGGGGGGGAAGCAGAGGGTGGGCAGCATTCCTCTGCTCTAACCTATCGTGCTTTTCTTCCCCAATTTTGGGGCTCCTATGTGGATTTTCTTCCCATTCACCACCCCATGACCCCGCACAGGACTCAACTGGATTTCCAAACCGACCAACAACCCCCAGACAGTCGTGTAAAGCTTCAGGAAAATTCAACAACCACTGGCCTCGTCGTTAAAACCACCCCCTCTTCCTTCACCTCAGTCTTCGCGCCCCTCCCTGCCCACAACCCCGCCACCGCGGTGAGCGTCCAGAGTAAAACCTAAGCCCGCAGGCGGCTAAAACCGAGAAGTGACATGGGGAAGGCCTCTACCGGGCTGAGTTTTATTAAAAACGCCACAGAAATACACCTGGAAAAGGGGTAAAACCGAGAGGAGTACCCGCTCCCCCACCTCCCCTCAGCAGCCCCCTCATGCCGGCTCGCGACCACCGCCCCGGGGGCGGGGCGGAGGGCTCGGCGGGAAGGGGCGCGCGCACCTGCGGCGCGGCAGTGGCGGCGGGTTCCCGTCAGCGGGGCCGGCATCAACTCCTCCCCCGCGGGCACCGCCACCCGAGAGACCGCGGCAGTCTGCAGGGGATACCCACGTCCCCTCAAAACAGACGCTCCCGCCGCGGGCTGGGCGGGTAGGAAGGCAGCCCGCCGCTCGCCCTCCGCCCCCGGCGGGGCGCGCTCCCCTCAACGCTCTCTCAGCCACAGGCACGCGCGCGCGCACACACACACACATACACGCCGCCTACCGGGCTCCACTGCGCTTGCGCGCCGGCCTCCCGCCGCCGCTAGCGCACGGGGCTCCGCCCCCCCACCTCCTGTGCGCAGTGCGCAGGCGCGCGGCGAGGCCGCGCGGGGGGGGGGGGGGGGGGGGGGGGGGGGGGAGGGGTTGAGATGAGCGTACTACTCCCCAATATGGCGGACTTCGACACTATCTATGAGCTGGAGGAGGAGGAAGAGGAGGAGGAGGAGTCCGAACCTGTGGTGCGGAGCCAGGAGCTGCCCCGGCCCCGCGATGCGCCGGATCCCGTAGCGGTACGGGGTGCCGGGCACATCACCGTGTAAGGAGTAGGGGGGGCCTGGCGGCGGGCAGGAGGCAGCGTGACAGGCCGGTGTGGTGTGGCGGGGGAGGCGGCGGCCGGGCCGGAGCACCGTGCTGCCGGCGGTACCGTGCTGCCGGGGACACGGCTGCCCGCTGGCGGTGCCGGGAGGGGGTAAGGACATGAGGAGGACTGCGCCCCATTCCTTTTTGCCCCGAGCCCCTCTTCCCCCGCGGAGGCGAGCTGCCCGCCTTGCCGCGGTCTTGCAGCCCTGCTCCCTCTCCGCCCCCCTCCCCCTCCCCCGTCACCTGGTTTGTGAGGGGAGTTTTGCTTTTAACCTGTTAAAACGGGAAACTTCGTGTTTTCCAGTAGCTTAAGGCAACCCAAAGTCACGAAGGAACAACTGAAGTTCAGCTGGCTGTTCCGTGCAAAAGCAGCAGCTAATCAGCCCTGACAGTCCTGGGTATACTTCTTTTTCCAAACAATCTGTTAGATAAAAAGTAAACGCTACACGGTGTGAGGATGAGCAGTCTGTTCAGACGATTTCACTGACCCTTCTCTGTCTCAGCTGAGCCATGGGGCCCCCCCCCCCCCCGCACTGCAGAGGAGGTACATGGCTGTGTTGTAGTTTATCTGCTCCAAACTTAGTCGTGAGTTTGGTTTAGGCTAAGTGTTTTTATCATTAGAAGGCAATGTGAGCCAGAATGTTTGCTGCTCACTTAAACAGTTGGAACAGAAGATGAGCAAACTGTGTGATCTTATATGTAATGTTTACTCGTAGGGATTTTCTTAATATGCCTACTCCTGCAAGTGGAGGGATTAATATAACAAAGTACATCCATAACAAGCTGTTGGTCGTTGCAGTCATTTTCATGGCAGGGAGGGAGGTATTGAAATTTTTGTATTGCAGAGATCCATCAAGCTTGTGTTGCTTTGAGTCTGCCTTTGGATTGCATAAAAGAATGCACATTTTTTTCTGTAAATAGGTGCAGTGTGATCTAGCTATCTGCAGCAAAAACACTGGGTGGGGAAGGCTCTCATCCTAAGAGAACTAATGTTGGATTTGATTCTGTGTCCGTCATGTAAGTCTAAATCAGGTTTGCATCGAGCTAGTGCCAGTGGATAGTTGCTCTGCTGCACCGCAGTGTACTTGCTTGTGTTGATGGCATTTCTTTCTGTCCTGACCCGAAATAACATGTGGCCTGACTAAAGGAGGGGTGTAACACAAGCAAAATGATCAGAATACCGCATACCCATCTTATTATTTATCTGGTTTTAAGCACTAAACTGGAAAAAATGTTACGCACTTATTTGCTTTGTCTGCTGTGATGCTTTCTGTGTATTAGTGATGTTCCTTAAAGCTCCTTCTTGGCTCCAGCATCTTTTGGGGATGGGCAGGAGCATCCCCAAGAACTCTGTCAACTAGTGATGTCTACATCAAAAGAAAACAATACTTGTAAGTGATGCGGAAATCATGAGCTAGCATACATGCCCTTGTAACTTCTTGAACTGAATTCCCATCCGCTTTATTTTCCTTTTTTCTGCTCCTCCCAGCTTTCTTCCTGTAACAAGTCTAACTACCTGAATGGTAGAAGGCAGCTTTAATCAGTTCATGACATATTTTTAAATCACCTTATATTAACAAAACCAGTGGATGTTACCAATAAAATGCAGATAAACTCTGGACACTACAATATGTAATCCTAACCTCCTTATTAAATGGGAAATATTTTGCTTCCTAGAGTTTCTGGTTAGTATGTATCAGCTCTGAAATTCTGTCACTTTTTGATCACACAGATGCTGCTGCTTTTGAAATCAGTTGGCTTCAGAAGCAGCATGCTCTAGTTACTGAAGTGAGATACATCATTGAGTAAAACTTGTGTTTGTTTTCTGAACCTGTCTGGAACATTGCTGATAAAAATTTCTGTCCTGACAAGTCAGACACTCTATGAAAAAAAAACAGGGTGAAAAAAAGAAAAGAAAACCAGTTATTTTTAAAAAGCCATTGTTTTCCTTGGATTTTTGTTTCAGATGCCTTCTGTTCCTCATCTGATACTGGCCTTCTTGGATACTTTTGGTGTATAGAGAAGGGATAATTCTCGAATTCCAGGGTCATCTTCTGGTCCAGCTTTTCATGTGCAGTCCTCTTATAAAACTCCTATGTTAGTAGATTCAAACTATGTATTAGTTTCTTGCATGAGAGTTTTTATTCTTATGACCTTGTCAGTGAGCTGCTGACCCTAACTGAGTTCTACTGCAGTATCCAACAGTACTAAATATAAATTCCAAGAATCTTCTGAGGGTTTTTAGCAGGATCTTGCTTTTTCCACTGACTGTTTTGCTAACCCTTTTACCCCTCTGCATGGTAAGAGTGATCATGTAAAGTGTATTTGTTTTATTTTACTCAGAGAGAGAAAATATATGTGAAAGCAGTTAGCAAAATTTGTGCTCATCTTGTTCAATGCTCTTTCACTCTAGAAGATTCTTACTTTGAAACAATTAACCATCAGTCATATTTATTGTTTTCAGAAGGCTTTTGGATTTTAGTACAGAGAAATTGCTAGGACCTAGTAAATGCCTTCTCTTTGCTTGTGAAATTCCATTTGAATGAGTTATAAACCCATTGTTCGCTGTTTCTTGCATAGTCAGTGTGACTCTGGTTGGTGTATCCAAATATCTCAACATAAACATTTTTAGTGAAGACTGAGTCATATGCCTACCAAAGCAAGAGCAATAACTTTCAAAAACAGAGCAGTAAACAAACTCTTAACTTGGTTATAAGTTTTTATTTATCTAATGTAATTTTTCCATATCATTAAGTCCATGTAGATGGATGGTAATGAGGTAATGAAATAGCCATTAAGCATATTCTTGCCTTAGTATGCAGCTTGTGATTCCTGCTTAAGTCTGCAAACCTCCTAGTTTTGGATACAAGTTAACATTTGTTATTCCATTGAATTTTCTGTAGGAGTGCCCCAGGGGTCCGCAATCCAGGTGCTAATGAAAAGCATATTGTCATCAATTAGGGAAGGCAGGGAAGAGCCAGGTGCTCTCAGTTGTGATAAGATGACATTTGATTATTGTCTGATATTACTCCACCTTCTGCATATTTAAAATAGCAGATTCCACGAGTTTAAAATAGCAAATGACCTCAGGCTTCTACTAGTTACCAAGAACTTAGTTTTCCAAAACATCATCCACGGGTAAGGGTGTTCGTAGTTCTGTTGGCTTCATAGGAAAAGGTCCTAGACGAGGAAGAGAAATGTTAAGTGTTCAAAGAGATTTCAGCTCAGGGCTCTTGATGAATGTCTTCTTTATTCTTTAATGCTGGACAAAGCTTAGATGATACCTCATAAATAATAGTATGTAGGATTTGAGTTCATCTGTTCAATCTAGGTTAAACCTAACCTGGATTAGGTGTGGGGAAAGGAGCCATGCTGAAAGGAGTTTGGAGAGCCTATTGTAAGAGAGTTGACTAAACGGGTTTAGCTTGTGTAGTCTAGTAAGACTGATTACTATCTATAAATACAGTAGCTGGATAAATAAGAACGAAGTGCTATTTAAGTCAAAAGAAAAAAAAGGTAAGCACTTGTAAGTATATCTCTTCTAGATACGAGAAGGTGTTTTTCAAAATCTTCCTCTTTCAGTTCTGGGAACAGGAAATGTTACTTCCCTATGCTTTGTAGACTAAGGGAAAGAATTTTATAATGTGATACCTGTTGCAGGTGGGGTTTCAACTGATGATTCAGGGTGTTTGTTTCAGTCTTGAATTTGAGGGATTTATGAATATATCTTATTACAGCTCCCTGTGAGAAGTTGCGTTCTCCCTGCTTTACAGATGGGGGAAGAAGAGATAATGGGACTTGTATGATGCTATACATTAAAACAGGGAAAGAGAGACACAAGAACTAGAAAGTGAGGTCATCCTAATTCTATTCCAGTGTTATTTCCTATAGGAAACAGTGCCTTGCTTTTAGAGATATATGTCATCCAGTGAGAAAATTGCAACTGAAGTAATATGGGTGACTTACCTGAATTTCTAAAGGTTAGACTTTGGGCAGCTTTCACTGAGGAGCCAGAGAACTAGCCCAGAAATAAGTCGCCACCAACTGATGTTTTAAATGATTTAAAGGACAGGTACTGGAATTTATTTTACATAGTGATTTTTAAATGTACTGAATTTTAGAAGACTTCATAAGCCAAATCATGCTAGATCATTAGTCTGTTGTAGAAGGTCTAATGAAGTTACTTATCTCTTAATCAAGACTTTAGATCTTAACTTTTTTTTTCCCTAATAACACTTCAGTACTTTTACAAAGTTGCTCGCAAAGCTGTAGAATGATACAACATTCTGCTTTAACATTTCTAAAAATAATTTATTTGGTTCTTGAATTCCACCCCCTGCTCCCTGGTCTAATAGGAGTTTAATGTTTCTGAACTGTGTGGTAAATCATCATGAGGATAGTCTGTAAAACTTGTAGAGATGCTTTAGTAAAACTGTGCTAAAGGCCATCAGTAATGCTGACTAAACATAGTTTTATAATGCAGCATATTCCTGTTTTCAGTATAGTCAAAACCCTTTATATTATTTTAGCCATTTGCAGGTGTCTGTGTAAAAGAGATGCATTTCTGTAACTGAGGTTTCTTGGATGTGTTATAACAATGGAATGTTTTGGCAACTGATAAAAGTTTGGGGGTTTAAATATGTTTCATGACATCAGCCTTCAAATTTAATGTAATAAAATACATTGTGGTCTTGTATTCTTAATAGATCTAAATCAGAAAGCACTAATTTATGTTGTTCTTTATGGAAATTGGTGGTGCAATAGGAATTTTAATGAATATGTATGACCAATGAGATAAAAGACACTACCTATGGCTTAGGAAGTTTTTGAACTATGAATTGTTGAAGGTCAGAAGAGTGTTCTGGGGAAATGCTAGTACACGTTTGCTTTTTTTTTTTTTTTTTTGCTGTTTCCTAGGTGTCTGCTACTGGCCACTGCAAGAGTCAGTGTTATGGGCTAGGTGGACCTTTGGCATGGTTTAGTGGAATTACTCTGTTATATGGGCAGAGTAAATAATTCTGCAGTATTGCCTGAACTTTCCAGTAGTTAATTTATTATGTTGTCTCATTGCTACAACTTTGTGATCATTTTAGGTAGTTTCATTGCTGATATGGAGAAAAGTCCATATTCCTCTAAACAAGCTTGTGTATGTGCTTCATATCATTAGTCTTTAGAGGATTTTGGAAAGACTGAAAAGACTACCTCATTTCTCTTCATGTCTCCTTAAAAATAAATATATAGTATAATAACACTTGGAAGATTTCAGTTTAAAAAGACAAGCTACAAAATGCGGAGGCTGACTTGCCAGATTACATTCACAGAGAATGGAAATGCACTTTTATTAGTAACCTTTGTGCTTGTCTAAAATCTTACTGGTTTTATTCTTTGTTTTTGTAGCATTAATTTAACAGCATGGCTTTCCAGTTCACTTGAATATGCAGTAGCTCATGCTGTGCTGATGTTCAGTTCACTCACATTCACATCTAGAAACTTTCCTGTGAAAGTATGTTGAATGAAACAAACACAAATAGGTGGCATTGTTATAGTGCTTAGAATAGCTTAAGAGACAAAGGTTGAGAAATACTTCAATTAAGATCTACTTTTTTTTTAATGTTTTACACAACTAGTGCTCTAATATGCTGCTCTTTACAAGAGTCAAATCTCTGACTTATATTAGCCATTGAAGAACTTGATTGGACTTCACCAGTGTTGTTGACAAACATTTTAATTGGCTTACTGGATTTCTAGAGACTCCACAAGTTATTATGCTTCTCTCCTCTTTAAGGTTTATTTTACATTTTTGTATACTTATGAACAAGTTACATTGCCAAGTTTGGATATGTGAGTTACTACACTGCGCACATGAGCGTGTATGTATTATATAATGATAGGGGACTGATGACATTTCAGCAAGACTAGTATTTGTACAAGTGACCAGTAAGGAGTACTTCAGGTGTCAGTTTGACTCAAAGCAAATTCTGTCTCTCCATAAAGTTTGCTTCTACAATGGCTATTACAGTACCAAATGTATTTGTGCTTGGCTGAGATCCTTTGGGGTTTTTTCTTTTTTTGGAACAAAAATACTCAGGAGGTAGTTTAGCAGAGCTGACAGTGAACTTGATGTACAGTATATTTAACTTTATGTTTGAACAGAGCTTAATGTTAAGTTTGTAAAGGTTGTTAAATTACTGAATTGTAAAGGTTAAAGATTTCAGTTAATGTAGAGGGGATGGAAGATCAGAGTTCTTGTTCTGCAGAGGCTAGCAGCTTTAGCATCAGAGCTTAGTTAACTTCTTGCCTGCTTACATGCTTTAAATATAATAATAAAAAAGTCGAGTCAGCCTGCATTGTCGGTGTCCTGCTGATCTACAACACTAGCTTTTTGGAAATTTCAGTTGGTTCACTAGTTTTGGAACTAGTGGTAACACAGGTCTACAAGCAAAGTCTAGCTCCCTGTAGGTTTCGCTGGTTAAAATGAAGACTTACCTCTTGCTCAAAACCAAGAACACTTCAATGAAGAATAGTCACAGTGATACCTAAGGCTTCATTTTCTTGCATAGTTGTTTTAAAACTGTTCTTTGTGGGGGCTCTTACATGTTTTGGATGAGAGAGTTTAACTCAGCCCAAAGCAATTTTTTAAAACTATGTGGTTATAAATTTCTAAGATGATGATGAATGGGTTCCTTATAACTAGCTTTATCTGTTGCATGTGAATAAATTGCATGAGTAAGAAAAATAGCAGTAAAAGGATTATTGAACCTAGTAAAACTGGAATTTAATAGCTGGAGGTTTTTTTTCTTAAAGAAAGCAAAGATTGAAACTTACTGCCATCCAATCGTAAAAGAATTTTTGTGCTTTTAGCAACTTCAAGGTATTGAAGTAAGGCAACAAGCTATATTTCTCTGCCTTGTAAATGGCCTTATGAATGATACACGAGACCTTATACAAATTTAGGTTGAAAGCTCATGAAATAATGTAAATGTAAGGGCAAAAGAAATTAATAGGTTTTTTTTTAAGTACAAAATCTATTACATTTTTTAATTAAGGGAAACAAAATAAGTTAGGTGGAATATATTTTGTTTGTCTCTTTTGTTTTCAAGGTTTGGCTTGAGCAACAAGTTTGATACAGAATTTCCTTCTGTTCTGACAGGGAAGGTAAGTGTGAGATTAAACTGTTCTTTTAAATGGAAAGATCCAGTGCATCCAGTGGTTTCTGTGTTACAAATAACATGCTCATGAATCCACAGTGCAGTGCAGGCCAGCACTGCATTGGAGACTGTTTGAACTGTATGAACTAGCTGGTTGATGACCAGTCCCTACAGTGTACTTTGAAAGAAGAAAAAATGATATGCAGCGATTGCTATCATTATTGACATTCTAAACACAGAAAAGCTCAACATGGTATCATACTGTTTTCATGCAGGCAATCTACATGAAAGCAAGACTCACTTAACCTTGCTTTACAGATATCTGGAGTTTGTGCTACCTCCTGTGTGAATTAAATTATTTCAAATACTAGACTTGTCTTTTTAATGTCTTGTCAAGCCTTGAGTTTATATTTAGACAGATCTCTGGAATAGAATCTATTTTATCTGAAGCTTTAAGGAATAAAACATTATAGTGTTAAATCTACAGATCAAGTAGCTTTTTAGTACATTTTCAGAAATACAATAATTGTTTAGGTCTGAAAATTAGTGGTGACGGGTCTCTTGCTTTCTCTGGAGTCCTGTCATCTTACTAAATGCAAGTTTAATAAATACTCATTTGTAGCTATTAATGAAAACTTGTAGCAAAATTCTTGGTTATGGTTTTAAATTATTTTCTTTTTTTCTTTTTTTTTAAAGATTTTAAAATTTTGAATTCTTTTTGTCCTAGGGTTTTTTTTGTTTGTTTCTGCTGTTTCACACTCTTGTGCTTTTCTTTTGCTTCATTTTATATCCCCCTTATGTATCTTTTCCAGAAGTTGTGAGGAAAAAGTTTATTTGGCTCTTACTGCTTTCTCTATGTCATACCATACAGCTATGCTATCTCTGCAGCCTCTTGCAGTAGCTGTTGAGTCATATTAACAATACACTAAAATGCAGCTGGATGGCATCTCCTGGTTCTGCCAAATCCATCTGGGTTTCTTCTCCTTCATTTTCACCCCAGAGTATAATGAATAAAATAGTTGTGTTGAATTTGTCCAGCTTTTTTGACAGCAGTACAATTGAAAAGCAGGTTGCTATTTGGAGTTTTTGGTTGTTAAAAGACAGCCTGGGAACTCTGGCCTTGCTTCAGAATCTCGTGGAGCTCAAAATGAAAAGTCTTACTGATTCCACACAGTCTAATGTGAGGGCTGGCGATAACACCATTTGCATTTCTCTACCTTGCATGTCTAAGGTTTATTCTTTTCTGTGAAGCTCTTTCTGATCACCAAAAAGCCATAGAATACTTTTTGGAAATAACAATTTTTATGTTCTTTTAGTCAAGTTGTAGTTTGTTATAAATAAGCCTACAGAAAATACCTAGCAGGAAGTGTTAAAACTTGATTATATAATTTCATCTCTTTCTGTCTCTCTAAAATACATTGGTGTGTATTAAAAAACCAAAACAAACACAACACCCAAACCTACACTTTTTAATATGAACATCAATGCTTACCACATTTTCCACTTGATTGTCCTCCTCTTGTTAAATAGACAGTGAACAAAAGTTTAATTTAAAGTTCAGTTGACTGGTTGGACTTAATTTAGCAAAGAAAGGAAAAAGGAAGTTCTACTTGGCATTTACCCTTCTTGTTCTATAGATCTAATCAGTGACAATGTAAGTCACATGAGCAGGGATTTGCTCTATATAGGTATGCTGCTTCTGTTGAGAATCTTGATATCCTGTTATCTTTTTCTCATGTGGATTTGAGGGGCTTTCTGAGTAAGAAGACCTTGAAAATAAATTAGTTCCCTTTTGTGAGGGGAAAACACTGATCAAATGAGATAGTAAACACATTTTTCTTACTGCCTGCCACACACTGCCATGAAAGACATTAAAAACCACAGTTGTGGGTTTTTTGGTTTTTAATGCTTTCATGAGTTGCAAGAAATAAGTAATCTGCTTCTTCCTCTGGTTGTGGCAGTCAATCATGTTTATCCCTATTGAAAATGAAAAATCAGTCAGGTTTTTCCAGTAAGAAGGTTTTCTTCAAATACCCTGATAAATAATTCACAATAATAAGCCTTGTAGTCAATTGATACACCACTTTAAGATCTTTTACTGTTCTTAAAATACAAATTTTTACTTTTTATGGAGTCACAATTTATGAATAGCATAGTGACTGCTTATATTAACAATCTGTGATTAAAATGTTTACTATGAACTTGCATTAGTACGCCGCTAGTATAAGGCAATGTCATACTTTATTAATAATGTCTGCGTAATACTAAGTTTAATGGCTTTGTTGTCCATTGTGAATTGATACTAATAATATCAATGGAGTGTAAAAGATGAAGCCATTAGGTGGGGTTGATAGACTTCTCTATGGTGTTGTTTTTCTCTTTAATAAATACAGATGGAGTGCTAGCTTTTTAAGCACAGGATGAAAATCTATCCAATGCATAATAAAAACCCTAAATAGATAAAAACTATCTAGCTACACCTTTCTCCAAGAAGCACTAACTTTTTGGTTTTATGCCACTGTGTAGTCTTAGGAATTTACTTAAGATTCCTGACCCTCAGTTTGCCCATCTACATGATGATGATAGTAAACCTTCTGCTAATTTTCTTTTTTTAAAATCTGAAATACCCCTCCTTCTTCACCCATCTCCCCTGCCTCCTCATCCCCCAGTTTTTACAGAGTCTGGATAGTTATTGTAAATTAACCTAGACCTAAGATGCATGTAATTACATCTTAGATATTTAATTGAGATGTGTTTGTTGCTTTTTTGGGGAGAGGTAAATGTGTATATTTGAGGATAAAACATGGGCAATAAAACAATAAAGAAAAGGAAAATACCAGGTGGGTCAGATGTTGGGCCTAGCTAATTCAGCTAGATTGACTTAATACGCATCTTGCAGAATGAGATACAAGCTTCAGCTGGTTTATAAATACTGAGCTAGGCTTTCAAACAGTGCATTCTTTTAAACGGAATTTTTTGAGAAAAGATTTGACTACACTTAATACAGAGGTGATATTTAACTTTTAATAATGTGATTGAACTTTGGCCTAAATTTAAATTCTGGCTAAATTTAAATTCTGTGGGCTACAGTTTTATAGGATGGTTAATTATTTTAAAACAAGCATTTAAAAGCTTTTAACAAAATATTCTTCATGATATATGGCAAAATAGCACACACTGTTCCAGGTGACAAGAAAATGATGGAGGCAGTGAACCTTAAGGAAGAAAGTGGAGTTTCCTGCCCTGATCTTAAAACAACAAGGGTCCTATACAGAGACTACTGTGCAATGCATGGAAATGTAAGCCATAAAATGTGGTCTTGGTATTGTGATCCCAATGCAACATGTGATTGATAGGGTTTGTGATCACGATGATTGAAGGAGAAAGATCAGGCCTGCTGGGCTTTACTTGCTCTCTTCCTGTGTTTGTAGATTCTCTTGCATCCTGTTGTAAAATATTATGACACCCCCTCCTTTCCTTTTATGTTGGTTTGGGTTTTTTTTTCCCCCTCCCTTAAAGACCTAAAAGGAACTAATGTCACTTTACAAGGTGTACTGCACAGCCAGGAGCTATGTACTTATCTCATTCTTTTCAAGACCCAGACAGAAACTCTCCAACAGACTTTCCAAAATTACTTAAAACTAGACTTTCTTAGGGAGCTTGCTTTGTGCAGGAGGTGCTGTTAATTCTCTGTTTGTTTGAAATTCATTAGTCATTTCATATTAACCTTTCAATATCTGTACCTGTGAGAAAGGCAAGATTTAAAATTATGCCAGAAAAATCAACAAAATTCTTTGGTGACTGTTTCATTTGGATACCATTTTATTATTAAATTAGAACAGTTATTTTATTTAGAGATATTTTGTTCTTTGTCACTGTGTAACAATGCTTAACAGTTACTGAGCTGTAAACTGAGAGCAACAAAACTGTGTTTTGCTTTTATTTACCACAGAATGAGCCTTATCTTGGTCACCGGTTCCTTTAGTTTCAAATGAAGATGTGTAATTGACTGACAGAAATACTTACTGTGATTACATTTCCTAAAGGGAGAAATATATCCAATAGTTTGGGTTAGCCAAAACCATCTTAGGTAATTTCATCTTATGTTGCAGCTAAGAGATTTACTTTTACATGAAAGCATTTGGTGCATTAGCAGGTAGTAGCTTTTATAATACTATGTTAAGGTAAACATCATACCAAAATTTCTGAAATAGAAATTTTCTTGGTGGCATCCCAAGTCGGTTTCTAGTTTAGCCATTTGCAGTGCTATGCTCTACAGGAAGGAGAGTACTTCAACATTGTTCTTACAAAGTAGCATCAAAATGTGAACAGTGACTCCCTTAAAAGTAGCACAGAAATATGGAAACTCACCATCCCAGTGCTTTCTTATTAGGTCCCAAATTTTTCTGCCAGCTGTGATCTAAGAATCTGGTTGACTTCTCATGTTGGATGTTATCACTGATGATAAGGTTTCTTCATGGTAAAGTAAATTCTAGACTGTGCGATTCCATTGTCTTTGGTAGCTTTCTACAGCTGTATTTTGGGGTTGGGGTGTATTGTTGTCAAGGTCCGGTAAACTTTGTGCCTAATAGAAAAGGAAACATTCTCTTTTCTTAGTGGGATTCATTGCAGAAGTACTAATGGGCTCAAGCAAAAAACCTACTTATTTTTATCTTTCAAATAAACAGATAGAATGATACATGTACAAATTTCAAAAGACTTCTCAAAGAAAGTGCCATTTGTATATATCTAAATGTTAGGAGCATGTAAATTCCTTAAGAATTGAGAGTGCTAATTTGTTAATGTACATAATCTGAATTTACTTTGAAGCGTGTCTGACTGCAGAAGCTGTACAATGTTACCCACACTGCATACAACCACCCCAACTATACTTTACTACAAAACGTTTTCCCACACTGAAGATGAAATGATCTTGCTCACGTGCATCTGATATTTGTTAGAGCCTAAATACAAGAAACCAGTGTTGGCAAAGAGATCTGTAAAACCTCCTGTTTCAGATACATGCAAGTACAGGCTAGTTTTCCACGTTACAATGTGATTTTTTTTTTTTCTGTTCATTGAAAATGTCCCAATGTGTGGGATCTGTTTCTTTTTGCCATTTTCTTTCTTTCTTTTTTTTTTCCTCCAAACTAAGGTGTCTGTTGTAAAATATATTTAAATGTTGATGTTCCAGTCAGTCTAAAGAAAATTTTCTTACTTGCTCTGTTTGTATATGTAAAAAAAATTATAAGACAGTCTATTTAATATGGGGAGGGGGGTGCCTGTATAATTGCAAAAGAAATACTTTCTGTGTACTTATTAATTCCTGCTATAAAATAATCACAATGTTAAATTATGTTCTTATATTACTAACTGTAGGTCTGGCTTGTGTACAAACCCAGATGACTTCTGACTCTATACTGCATGGTGATCTGAATAGCCAGGAAACAGATGTTGTATTTATTTACTCCCTTTCCTGCAATGTTTTAATGAATTTAGGTCTTGTGAATAGACAGAGGTAGCAGAATCAGGTCCTCTCCATTTCCTGTCCCATAGTTTTGCTCCTTCAGTGAAAGGAGTCTTTGTCATTAAATTAATGCTTTTGTTGTTGTTGCCCCTGTTTGCAGAATCAAATGAACAGAGTTGGGCTTGCTTGGTTGGAAGAATCATGTAGTAGTTGCACAGCTTTTTATACAGACTAATTCTAGGGATTTTTTTTCTTCGACATGACAAGTAGTTAGGAAAGATTTTTTTTTTTTTTTTTTTTTAAGTTGTTGTGCCTGACTGGTCAAGTCTATTGGAATTGGATCCGATTGTGCTGCTTTGTGCGTTCAAATGCTGGATTGTGTTGCAGTTAAGAGTGCCATCTTGGAATCAATACCACAAATCCATATTTGACTTGTCAAGTATAAGTTACTTAGATTCTGTAGAGAGATGAGGGATTTGGGGTATGTAAATAGGTAAGTGCACTCACTTGTTTGTAAGAAACATGCTGCTATCAGAGGAAGGAGCTTATTTCTCATAGAAAATGTGGTTTTCCACTGTGACTCTGCAGTGGCAATATGTAGAAAATATTGAGTAAGCTCTGCTGAATATTCCTTAATTTAAATAAGTTGTTTTTCAACAGCTAGGCTTTATTCATAACCCTGTACAAGATGCATTTCTTTGCCTTGAATATAATCCCGTATATGTCTCTCCAGCCTTCCCTATTTTAGGAAGTGGCCACAAGTAAAGTTGTGGCCTCATGTCAATATGGACCACTTCAGGAATTTATCCGTGGACAGAGGTCCACCTTCACCCACGCACAGTGTAGACTTGCACTGGTATGAAATGAATTTGGACAATATTATCCCTTTTTCTATGTGACACACAGGTGTTTTTACTACAAAGCTGCCCCACATTCCCTTGGAAACCAGATATTTGTCATTCCTACTTTTTTCTTTTTTTTTTGGTCACCATAGCCAGTGTGTATGTTGCACAGCTGTCTCCAATTTCTAGTTTTGTTTGGGGCCACTATATTATCAGGACAATTGATTTATTAATGGTGCAATAAATAAGGATGAGGCTGTTCATCTAAGTGATGTTTAGCTTTTTAATGCAAGTTTTTGCAAAGCATGCACCATAAATGAATTTGTTACAGGAATGTGACTTTTTCATGTTCACTGAGTGGCCAGTGTTTTAGAAGATGGGGTCATGTTGTATAGTGGTATTATGGTTCATTTACATTTTAATCTGTACAGGCAGTTATTGAGAAAATACACCTGTAATGGCTTTCCACTGAAGTTCAGCACTTCTTTTGCAGGTTGCCCCAGAAGAATTCAAGACCAGCATCAGTCGTGTGAATGCCTGTTTAAGAAAGAATCTCCCTGTCAATGTAAAATGGCTGCTTTGTGGCTGTCTGTGCTGCTGCTGCACACTGGGCTGTAGCCTGTGGCCTGTAGTCTGTCTTAACAAAAGAGTAAGTACATGTTGCATTCTTCTGATTCTATTTATTTTGCAATTACTGATAACATTAACTAACGTTTAATAGTATCATCCCCATTTCAAAACCCTTTTTTGTCTCACTTGCATTCAAAAGGTTATTCTGTTTTCCATTCCTTAGAAAGTAGAAAAAATATTTGTTAATGAAGTAAATTATACCAAATTACCAATTGAATTAATAGTTTTAGGAATAGCTAATCCCATCTCGGTTCGAAGAACAGGATGGAGTATATGATAACCTAAATTTCCAGGATTTCTAAAGGTCTAAGAATTGAATTAAATGAAACAAACAAAAATTTGTTTTCTATTTGGGAAGTTTAGAGACTTCCCATTTATTTATTTATGTATTTATTTTCTTTCGACAGAAAGCTGACAATTCTTGTAATCAGGTCCAAAGTAATAATTCTGAAAAGAGCTTTAGCAATATCAAGTAAACATGATCCTAATTACTTCTATGGTTTACATTTAGAATTGATTTATCACAGCAGTAAATGTTTAGGAAATACATAAACAGATATAGTATAATGATATTCTTTGCAGCTACATAGTTTGTAAGACTTGTAGCCATAAAATCTTATTATCCAAAAATGTAAATAGTATGTAGGTGCACTAGGGAAAAAAACTCTCACGCTTGTCAATTTAATTATAGTAAAAGATCTTAAGTAAAAAATCTGTTAAAAAGTAATACTTCTGGCTTTTGAAAGTTTATGATCTTTAATAAAACAATCTGAAAGCAAAAACAAGGAATAGGCATTGCTTTTCAGAGAAAATAAAACAGTATCATTTTGCCAAACTTTCCAACTTGCTCAAAAAAAACCCCAGTTGCGTTGACTGGTATCGCGTTTTTGGTTAAAAAAAACCAAAATGCACTAAAGGCATAATATATTAACTTGTTAACTGCTGATTGCTGAAGCCTATATCACAAAAAAGTTAAAGGATTTGTTTTAGCTCATTTTATCTGCCTTTATAAACATTGTTATTGCAGAGGAATAGGCTTGAGGTATACTGATGGAATATTTGCAGTTTTAAAACCATATTTAATATTCTTGTGCTAGTGAAAATCTAAGTAGATGCCCATGTGATGTTGTAGCATTAATGTAATTCTCAAGGGTACAAACAATATGTACCAAGTAGGAGTAGGGAGGATCATGTTAACTTCTGTGGGTATGTGTGTGTCTATATATTGGAGCGATTTGATCACAAGTATGAGATGGTTCTTAAATTTCTATTGTGGTGGGTTGAACCTGGCCAGCAACTAAACACCCACCAGCCACTTGCTTACTCAGCCCCTTCCCCCCTGCCCCCAAGCAGGATCGAGGAGAGAATCAGGAGAACACAAGTAAGAAAAACTCATGTGTTCAGATAAAGACAGTTGAATAAGTGAAGGAGAAAAAGGGAAGAAGACCCAAGTGATGCAAAGGCAAATTGGTCGCCACCTCCCACCAGCAGACCAATGTGCAGCCTGTCTTTGGGCAGTGGGCTACTTTGGAAAGAATAGCCCCCAGTTTTATTGCTGAGCATGATGCTACATGTCATGGAATATCCCTTTGGTCAATGCTGTTCAGCAGTAGCTAAAACATTGATGTGGTATCAACACTATTTTAGTCATAGATCTAAAACACAGCACCATACAAGCTGCTACGAAGAAAACTAACTCCAGCCCAGCTAGTCCCCATACACCCATCTAGCAACAAAAGGCGTTGTGAGATCCAAAGGTTGGAATATGAAACTAAGACTATTGAAACAGGAAACAATATGTACTTTTTAATTCCAAGGATAGCTTTGTCCCTGGAAAAAATTACAAAGAAGTGGTGGATTCTCCACCATTAAGTCTTTGACTCATAATTGGATAGCATTCTATCTTTTTTTAATGAGATTGTGTAGCTCACCTACCATTATTAGCTTTAGCAAAGAAATTGGTGGATGGAATTCTGTGGCATACCATGTAGGAACTGGAGTAGATCATCACAGTGGTATTTTTGTGACCTTAAAAATCACTGAAACTCAAAAAAATCTTCTCCTTTCCCACAGTTGTGGAAAGAGCAGAATATGAAGGTCATATGCACTTTGGTATCCAAGAGTTGAAAATACAGACACTGTTTGTTGTGAGCTGGAGTTCTGTAGCATTGAGATTTTTTTCAGGATTCAGATAACAATTACATTAGCAAAATCTGGAAATTACATGTATGTTAATTGTGTTGTCAGTAGCCCACCTGTAGCGAGGGCAGTATTTGGCCAAGAGAACGTGGGAGATTCTGTTTCGGCTTGGCTATGGCCGGTAAAAATACTACATTCAAAAGGATCTCTTACTAAGTAAATGAATTCTGGGAAAGTTACAGTCCTAAGTTAACAAAAAACACATATACATTGGTGTTTTTTTGCTGAAGAATATCTGATGTTGAGGAGTGGGGAGTTGAAGTGGTAGGACTTCCATTCATAACTTCTCTTTTGCTTGGTTCTACTTTTATAAAACTAGCTTATTTTAGATTAATCTTAAGCCAGAAATGCAATAGTAAGATTCTTCTGGTTGAGGCTGGCTACTAAACCTTTTATAATACAGTTTTGACTTACTTTTTAGACTAGAAGATCAATTCAGAAGTTATTAGAATGGGAAAATAACAGACTGTATCATAAGGTAAGAAAAGTTAGAGTGCTTGGTTTTTTCAGCTTTAAGAATAGTAAATTTTTTTTTTTGCGTAATTGGCATGTAGGAATTTTACAGTCTTGTTATAATTCCATACTTTATACTGATCTTAAACCTGTATCTGAAGTGTTCCAGATCCTAATAATTTGATATTGCTAATGCTTGTTATCTTACTCATCAAAACAATGCTGTGGTATGCATTAATCCTTTGATAATTACTTTCTTAGCTTGGTTTGCACTGGAAGCTGAGTAAAAGGAAATGCGAAACTAGCAATATGATGGAATATGTAAGTATTCTGTTACTTATTTGGTATTCAGCATACCTATGATTTTATAGAGAAAATCCTTAACTTACTAGACTGTCACCTATCCAAAAAAATCTCTCAGAAAAACATGCAGTTGTGTTTGACATACACCCATGAAGGCCACTTTTAACAGGAGCAGCCATGGCAGGTATTGAGACTTGGAAATTGTCACCATTAAACATGTCTTCTTTTCATAACAATCCTACATTTGCACTGCAGGTACACTTGCTTTGATCTCTAATTTGTAATGAGGGAGATCCACTGTGACTTTGTGCATTGGTGTGATTCCCACACCAGGCCATAGTTGTTTAACGCTTACCCACCTTTTCCATTGGTATTCATAATTGCTTTGATTCAAATTCTTTGTGCAGAAATATTGCATTTTTATAGTAGTATGGTTTTTGTCTGGATTTTTTTTTCTTTTTGCTAGCTCTGAATTTCATAAAGTTTTAACCAAGACAGTCCATTTAGGAAAGCAGAATTCAAAATATTTCTGTGGTCCTACTATTCCCCATACACTTTCATGTATAGCTGTGAAGATTGTGTAGGCTTGAAGAAAAGAGATAGTCACCCCTGAAAAAGTGAAGTGTCCAGAAGCCTTGTGTTTCAAAATGACTGAAATCTCTGCTTTGTTATTCTGGGAAACATTCCCTCCGTATAGAGTATCTCAGATATGTTTAGTCTTATGTACTAGCTAACATTGCATGGAAATTGTGCTGAAGGTCTGAACTTTTTGGTTACTGTGTTCTGTTCTTGTCTTTTTCCCTTCTTCAACAGGTAATATTAATAGAGTTCTTACCAAAATATCCCATATTTCGACCTGACTGAGGAACAGCATTTGGTCTTTCATGTTACCTGTCATTTTCTACCCTTAGTGCCTTGTAGATGATTTTGGAAAGAAGATGGTCTACTTTGCTGTGACTTAAAAATGTTCTTCAGTAGAGTATCTTCCTTGCTATGTTACTTTTTTTCATTAAGAAGAAAACAATTTGCACATTTTTTTATGTTAAATGAGGCTTCTATGTTGCACTCTGAATTTTTAACATTAACAATAACTGATATAGTTGCCACTAGGGATCTAACATCAGTGCTGCTTAAACTTGTTCTGAGCATGCTGCCTTATTAATTTCTATATTTGCTGTCCTCAAACATGCATCCTAATGCCATGTCATACTATATTTCATTCTAAATGTCGCAATCCTATAAACCCTCAGTAGAAATGTCCAGGTAAGCGTCTAGTAGTAATGATTTTAGTATAACTTGCTTGCATAGGACTTGCAATCAACAGCACTGGTTTTGTCCTGCACTTTGCAAAATCATCATTTACATTAGGGGGTTAATTATTTTACCCACTATGGATTTGTAAATATTGACTCTTTGCATAATGTAAAGTGTGGTATGCCAAGGTTTACAGAATGTAATATAGCTCTTATTCTATTGCCAACAGTCTGACATCGTTTTATTTGTTACATTTGCTAGTATCCCTCTGATTGTATAGACCCATCCACATGCTGTTTTTATGGTAAAGCCATAATAAGTTTGTACATACTATCAAATGTGTAGGGCTCAGTTGCACTTTCTTTAGTAAATGGATGAAAAATGCATAGCATTTCTGTCGTCTTTTTTTTTTTTTTTAAGTATTTCAGGTGGTGTTTGTAGCACCTGAAATAGGAAGTTTAAATACTGTTCACCTTTGGAAAAGTTGCATTTGTGGGGTAGATGGCAGCTGCCAAATATCCCAAAGCCTCTTTCTAAGTTAGGAATATATGGATGCCAAGTTTTGTTTTTAAGTAAGGCAAAAAATGTTTCATAATTGTGAGACCTTCATTACTAAGGAGAAAAATTTGGAACAGCCAAATCAAAGCTGAAGTAACACTTTCAGTGTTTTTGTAGTGTGATAGTACTTCAACATTTTAACAGTTAAGTGACATGGCATCCTTTCCAGTGGAAATAAATTTTATCTAAATCAGAGTAGTGTTTCAAAATATGCTGATGGGAGGAAGTGGACCAGTTGAAAGGGTCCATGCATATATTTTGGTGTTCAGGTACAGTCTGAAGAGTCACAAATGCCTTGTGGAATTCACAAGTATTTTTGGATTCTTCCCAGTTTGCCCGATCTCAGGAAGGGAAGTAATTGTAGAAAAACTTCCTGTAATGGCTGGCCGAAGCAAGACCACTTGATAATAGTAAGCAAATGAAAACTGATGCAAGTTCCCTCCCCTTCCTAACTAGAAATAAGAAATCAGAGAAAAAAACAGCAGATGACTTGAGTATCTGCAAGTTGCGATGAATATCATCGTAAGTGTCCAGGCATTTCTTTACAGCAACTTGACTCCTTGTGACATCATTCCAAGTTGCTTTTTAGTTTCAAGGTGACTTGGGATTTCCTCTGAATGTATTTGCATCTTTTCAGTATGCAATATTGTCTGAAAATACAGTATTTGTAAGACCATTGCATTCTAATAACCATAGTAGGCCAGTTTTCTTGTACGCAGTGTTTACAGAAGGCCAGTTTTATCCAAGTTGTTACTTCGAATCAAATTTTGTGCTATTCTTACTGTACAGCTGAGGAGTGTCAGACTCCAGTGCTTACAGTAGTTTCCAATCACAGACTGATGCTTCAGATTCTGAAATCCATATACTTAGTGCAGAGGTTTCATTTGACTGGTAGATTGGTGACAACTAACTGTAGTTACATTTGTAACAAAATGAATAAAAACCTACTGTGTTTGAATTTAACATTAGCTACACCTTGCAACTCAGATTTCTATTGCAGAACCAAGCAAAGTGTTCTCTCCAATTTATTTATTTTTTTTTTTAGGATGAGTGTTAACTGGAAGCAGAGAAAATACTTATTGGCAGAAAAATGCAGTGTAAACCAAAACTGAAATAGCACATCCAATTCTATGTATTTCCCTTACAAATCAGTTTCTGGAGTAAATGAAGGGAACTTGGCTTAATGAACAGAACAATGGAAGTTTCTTACTGTTATGCCAGAACTTTGTTAGTAATTTTCTTTTTTTATGTGTGTGTGTAAGAAACTCAAGAAATCTCAGCAGGTTCTTATTTTCTTCTTTATGTGACTATATTTTCAAATGTTCTTTTCCAACTGAGAGAACAGGCAAGCTGAATGAGAGCTCTAGTAATTGCCAGTAGTGAATGCTGAGCAGTCTTCAGTCTCGCTGCTAAAAGAAATCCTCTTCAGTCTGTGCTGACTTCATCGTATTCAGTTGAAAATTTCTGAAACTGATTTGTCTTGTTTCTGTGAAATGCTGTGCCAAACTGAGAGAATACCCTGAGCTACAGGAGCCCCTAGTCCCTCTGGGCTGTTCCCTGGCCACCCCGTGCTGCGATATGACCAGAGATCCAAGGCAGAACAAAACAAGATCGTGGCTTTTGCTTTCCCACCCTCATCCCTTTGTCCCCTTCCTGCAGGCCTGGCCACGTCCAGTGCCACAGGCTGCTCTGCCGCAGCAGATTGTCTGCCTCTGAGTCTCTCCTGGGCACTAAAGCACTGAATAATTAGTTTTTAAAGTTTACATTTTAAGTATGTAAATTCTATACATTTTACTTTGTCCTTAATTGTTAATTGTATAGTCTTCAAACCATGAAAGGGTCTCTTCTTTTTGTGTTTTAATAGACATTTAAGTATGTGGCCATAAAGCAACTAGTAAAGAATGAGAGCGCCAAAACTGCCATTTACAGTAAGCTGTAATGTTTTAATAAGTAGATAAATTTGCATTAAAATGCAAAACCAGCAAGCAGTATTATATTTGCATCTGAAAGACACAGGTTCTGTAGCTCATTTAAAGATGAAGGCAGCTGTAAGTACTGCTCTGAACTGTGCACTTCTGCTCTGCCTACAGGTTCTTTTTTGCCTGGGCTATCCTTTGCTTTAATATAAAGACATTCAGGTGTAATTGTATCTCACGAGACTGAAAATGTCATTTTTGACAATAAGTCAGCATTAATTGGTAAACCTGTTTATGGAGGATACTTGTTAATTGGAGAAAGAATTTGTAGCAATATAACAGAGATTAATGTTAGCAAAGTGTAGTGGAAGTGGTAAAGAAAGTGCCTTGACTGGTTCTAACAAAAGAGAAAGCATTGTGCAGAGTGAGGAGAAAAGGGAACTAGTAAGTATCAGTAGTGTGAGTTTGCAGCAGATATCTAAAAGCAGTTACTGTCTACCAAATCAATGTTTAATTTTTCATATAAAGATGTTGACACTAACTTTCCTTTCTAGTTTTTATCTAGGAAATATTTGGGTTTCTATCTAGTAAGTTTTGTATCTAAGGAGTATTGAAGTATTAAAGAATACTGGCAGACCATCAAAGCTCTTACTTACCGTTTCCCCACCTGCATCTGTGAAGTTGTTTTACCATAGGAAGAAAAAAAAAGTGTTCCAAGGCATGCACAGACAAGTCTAGGAAGTGTGGATTTAGTTGTAGATGGGTGACTTTAAAACAGGAAACGTTTTTGCTAAATCTGGTGTGGTCTTGATAAATTAAAAAAAAGTTCCTATGCTTTTCTTGATAGGTACAAAACTCCATATGCAAAACCATAAATATATGTATATGATTGTCCCACTATGACAGTTTTTACTACATTCACTTGTCAACACACTACCATTGGAGCAATAAAAATGTCAAGCTATTAATACTCAATGTAAATAATTTATCATTTTAGTAAGTAATGTTATGTGATTCTTCTGCCTTTTTTGTTTTCTGTTTTTGGTGTTCTTATGGTGTTGTAACATTACTTGTACTGCTTAAGAAAAGTGGTTTTGTTTAAGCTGTATGAAACTTTGTGTTCTTAACATTTTTATTCTGTTTACAAGTGAACAGCCACTTTTTTAATAGGACCTCACATCTTGAGACTTTTTTTTTTAATTAAAATAAAATTCTAACTGAGCTCGATTTCTACAATTTACTGCACTAGCTTGTGCCATTAAAAGAAGCTGGAAGTCAGACATGCTTAATCACTTTGAGACATTTTTCTTTAATTAAATTTAAAGATTAAAACCTTTGAATAGTGCAATAGTGTTTATGGAGAAAAAAAATCTTTTGCGTCTCTCCCTGTAGCAGTGTGCTGATCAGCTGTGAATGGAATGGCAATAGTGGTGGGTATTCTTTAAATGAGACACTTTCCTGGTACGGCCAGATCAGGTGCTTGTATTGGGACTTTTAAGTATGGTTTGGCAGGTTTAAAGAACAAGACTTGGAAAGCTTAGGAAGGCTTTCCAAAAAAGAAAATTGCAGAATGATCATCACATTTAGTCTTCCAGATAATTTGTTTGGTTGGCTTACCAACCTCTCTTGTAAGGACTTCTTGTAGGAGTCTCTTGCTGCAGTGTTCCTCTCCAAAAAGCAGAGGGTTTTCTGCTGTGCTATGGTAGTTGCACCTCAAAGGAAGCCTAACCTGAGCATGGATAGTGTGTGTTAGTGAAATAAATAATTAGCTTATATAGAGGATTGTGAACATAGGGCAATGCAGCCTTTTGTGTGTGTTAACAGGCTAGCTTTGTAGCTGTGAAAGCAGGACTTAAAATTAAAGCCTTTGGCTCATCCCTGAGGGAGAAGTACTGCATTCCTGAAATGGGCACGTGCAATGTTTTTGTTGAAAGTTGGTGTCCTCAGTTGTTTGGGCAAATATAGGAGCATCTGGGCTGACATGCTGTTTAAGCATGAAACTGTTACTGAATATTGTTTGAGAAATTTAGAGAATGTTACTGTGGTGTTAGGCCAAATATAGGAACACTGGGCTGACTCGTGAAGCTAATACACTGTTAGGGTTTATGAGATGTAATTGCCTAGACTACTAGCAAAGGTCCATTTTAAGAATATTTGGGATTTGGCCCTGACTTCTCCTATTGGAAGGTAGTTGTAGAACTGTTTGGTAGTGAAGCTTACTATAATGTCTGTGCCAGTGTATTTATAATGCTATATGTCTGTCGTGTCAGTATTGTTCTTCAGCATAAACAGGTGAAGTATTCCAGCTGAGTTTCTTTTTCTACTTAAGCTTATAGAGAATTAAACCCTTTAGTCTTCATTTGCTAGACAAAATGAAATATGTTAGTCTCCTCTCAAAAGCAAAGGTCTCTGTTTCTGATCATCCTACTTGCATTTGCTTGCATTTATTCCAGTTTGAATTAATTTTCCTTGAATAGGGGTGGCCAGAAGCAATCGGATATTCCAGATAACGGCTCATGGCTAAGGCACCAGGTATTTCCATGTAGATAGTTCCCTCTCTTCTGTGAAAATAATGTGATCCATTAAATTTAAAGGATCACATTTGTTTCCTTAATGGCCGTATTGTACTTCTGATTCATAGCCATTCTGTGATAAATTTGGGACTTTTTCTCTTCAGTCACTTCTAGTTTATACAAGCTCCCAACAGACATTCTCATTACTGGTCCCATCAGTCCAGACTCATCATTTGACACTTTGTACTGTTGAATTTCTTGATACTTATATTACAGTAGTCCTCCTAATCCTCCAACTCTTCTTGTATATGCACTCCCATTCCTCCTGTAAAAAAAAAAATCTTTGTCACTGACTGATTTCATCTACAAAGTTAACAGAAATGTTCTTACTAAAAAGATTAGCTCCAAGGTTGATGCCTGAATTCTGCTTGTAATTTTCTGAAAGCCGTTTTACTTAGTCCCTTACCCGATCTGAATTTTTCTGTTATTTCTCCATCAGACTGAACCAGTAATTTCCTTGCTGTAGTTTGTCTGGTAGATCTAACCTATTTGGACTTTGTTGATTTACACCTGTTTATTTTGTAAACATGTGAACAGGACAGATTTGGGGTCTAGGCTAAACTACTGAATTGTTGGCATTTTCTGTAATCACTGGATCTGTTTAGAGGATTGTCCTTTTAATATATTCACATTTTATTTCACATTCTTTTATATAAAACTGTATGATGCATGGTAGCCTTTTGAACAGTAAACTAAAATTTCTGCAGGAAAGAGATTTGTATATCTAAGTTCACTGATAACAAATACAACCTGAGATTCCTGCTAGAAAAAAAACCCACTTGTTAAGAACACTCCAGGTAACATGGGATATCCAAAATTGTAATAAATCTGGGAGGAAGTATTACGGTAGTCTCAGAGTGAAAAGAACTTAAAATTAAACTAAAAGGTGTGTATTAAACAAAAGGTAATGACTGATCTGTATTTAGTGTAAATTATGTGATGTACAAGCCTAAATAAGTAATTGAAAATTACTGGTTCTCCAGACAGTACCTACAGGGATGCCCTTGGACATTGATGACAATGAAGTGCCTGAATAGGGCAGCAAAAGTAAAAAGGAGTTCTCATTTTAGCAGTATTGTAGACAATGCACTAACATGCGTAGTGGTTGTGACAGGTGCCCAGTTTGAGATGCTTTGAAGCTGTATGACTTGCAGAATATGGTCTATTAGGACTTTCTGCAAACAATAGCCCTAAGGTTGAGAACATAAAATGGCTCAGAGTGCCCAAATAATAATGGGGATGGCTAGGAGAAACCATAGCAATGTGGTGCAGCTCAAACTTAATTCCACACTAGTTTCCTACATACCTGAACGTTTCATCCTTCATCAAAGATGAGTTTATTTTGACCTTAAAATGCCAGTCTGTTGGGTGGTGAAATCCAGAGCCCCAGAGGGTCAGTCCACATCTTAATCTGAACTAGATTTTGAAGTGCGACCTAACTGCTGTTTCTATCAAAGTACAAATAAGTTACTTTCCAATATAATTTAATTCCTATTGGGTTGGTTTTGGTGGTGGGATTGTTTTGTTTTGGTTTTTTTGTTTTGTGGTTTTTTTGTGTTTGGTTTGTTTTTTGGGTTTTTTTTAGGTAATTCTCAAATGTTTGTAAGGTGCTGTTTTGGGACCATCTGGAAAAAAACCACAAAACTATTGTAAACCTGTTAATAGGCAACAAGAGTTGTTGGCCAGTGCTGAGGCTCTTTGTATGGAGTGGCAATTTTCCACCTCTGTGTGAGTTAATCTGAAACCACCGGTAGTGTGTAACAAGGGCATCTCAGGGGTCGACTCTCAATATATTTTGTGGGTCCTGTGGAACAGTTGTCTAATTCCTATTCCGATTGCTACGGTGAGTGTTTGTTCAGCATTTCTCTCCACCTGTAGCAGAAAGCAGGGGACAAGGAGGAGGAATGGATCCTAGCCACACTTGGACCACAAAGAGAAGAGACGCTTCCGAGGTAACTTTTTGATAATGGTATTTTTTTGTCATTGTTGAGTGTATGGAAATGGTAACTTGCTTTATGACTCTTTATATAAAATTTTCGGTAGCATTGAGTGGTGCTGAAAATCACATTGCTCTAAGTTTCCATGTAGTACTGATGGAATTAAGAGCTTTGAAACTCAGAAAGGGTGATACTAACTGGTACAGCTGCTCTAAAGCAGAAGCTACCAGATGGCTTTGAACTGGCAGAAGAAGAAGCATCAGGTGCTACACCTTCAGGGTGTAAAATGTGAAATTCACTTAGGAGCTGCAAAGCCAGAAATGGGTCGTGTAAATCCCACCCCAAAAGTACTGAACTCTTTCATAGTGTCACCAGCTGTTTTGTGAATACCGCTGTGTTGGCAGTAGAGCTGTTAGGACTTGTGAAGCGAACACAAATAGCAGTGTTACTTGCCTCCGGTTGCTTCCAGAAACCTCGCTGGAAACTGTGCTGGGCTCCTCGAGCCCTGCGGGTTGCTCCTCGCAGGAGGCCCATGAGCGAGCCTCAGGCACAGGAGCCACGATGGCTGTTTGTGCTCTTCTGCTCTCCCTGTTGAGCTAATTTCAGGAGCTGAACCTCTCTGGAGCCTCGTTGTAAAAGACTGAAGAAAATTTTGGTGTTCTAGAACAGTCTAAAGGCGACATCCACGGTTGCCAGACGTGAAACGGGGGTGCGTGGCTCTGCTTGGGAAGCGGTTGTTAAACCCAGCCCGTGGGGTGGGTCGAGACCTGTACGGGACGTGGCTGCGGAGCACCACGCCAGCTCCTGTCGGCGAGATTTGCGATGCAAAAGATTGGGTCGATCGTGACCGGGGAAGCCGTCGCCGTTCACGTGCCGGCGGGCTCCCGGGACAAGGCTGGACTCTTTGCTGGGGAGATGGAAACCCGCCTGTCCAGCTGACAAGCGTCTGCTGTGGCTGCGGGGCAGCGCCCCGGGTACCCTCCGCTGCTCCTGGCCCTGCCCTGCCCGCCGGGCCTGCGGTACCGCGGGCGGCCCCTCCCGCCCAGCGCGGCCTGAGGGAAGCCGCGCCCGCCCTTCCCGCCCGCCTCAAGCAGCGCCGCCGCTCGCCATGGCGCATGCGCCTGGGTGCCGCGCATGCGTTCCCCGCCGCGCCGTCCTCCGCCGCGGCGGGTCTCTCGGGGCCCGGCTCCTTTTTGTAACAGCGGAGCGGGCGGCGCTAAGGCCCGGCGGCGGCCTCCGCTCCCACGCCGGGGGGTCTCGCCCTCCTCCGCGCCTCCCTTTCC